ACAAAATGAACATTTTTACCTGAAGCACTAATCCTCATTCGCTTTTCGTTCACGCTAATTACTCAATATTCTAAGATGTTGATCCAATGATAGTAAAGCACGCCACAGACTCGCTTGAAATAAACGGTAACGAAACCTTTTTGTCCTCTACAAATAGACCATGTTGTGGGATGGTGTAAATTTCCGCTTTTAACTACTAGCTCCAATCTCTGAGTGGTTTGTCCGCCCATTACTTGAAACGTGGTTTCATGACAGGTGGGAACAACTGATCAACGAAAAACTAATATTTACACAAAAAAAATATGTTTTATTAAAAAAAGGATTTTTCTTTTTTGAAAAATCAGGTATCCGCCTTTTTAAAGCAAAAGAAAATGGCCGGTAATCCCCAAATTCTTCCCCAAGAAGCAGAAATACGGCCAGATAACCTAAGCCTTCTTTTTGGCTAGCCTCCTCTTATGGTTGAAAACGATATTTTTCTCTGGAGAGGAATGCACATGTACTAGTACCAGAGCCAGGTAATCGGACACGAACGAATTTGTTAACGTGTAGCTAAGCTTCACCATTTTCTTTCTCAAGTCTAAACGTAAAGGATAAAAATATATTTACTGACATATCAAAAAAATGAAATAAAAACACTAGCACTAAACTGCTGAAGTCAGGCAAACGGACAGGGTATTTCTGAAAACCATAAAGTTAAATGCTCTTCGCTGATGGAGATGGATTTAGTTTAGATTTTAAAATTAAGGTTGAACATTATTTCCACAAGAGTGAACATGGGCCTAACACTGCTTTTACTTTGGATTGTATTCCTTTAGCTAACTCACATTCCTTGTCAGTAACTGTACTCATTAGTCATATACAACTCTGAATATTCTTCAACAGGCAAAGGTTATTAATGGAGCCGAAACCGACTGTGGAAATGAAAACATTTTAGGCTTTATAATGTTGAATAGTTATAGATATTTCCAGCGACAATAGTTTGCCGTCTGTCCCCTTCGAAATGTGAAGAACAAATACATCAAGTCAGAGTCGGCTGTAACACCCCAAAGGTGTTTTTAAAATGGATTAAGAATCATACTTATGTGACATTTATATCAGTTTAGGGTAAAACTACATAATTGAAGTATCAACTGAGCATGTTCGACGTTGCTTGTTACAAGCTAGTGCAGAACGTATTCGTTTCGATGAAAAACTTATATTGAACATTGAGGGTCGTGAAGGGGGGTACCAAATCCCAGTTCCCAGCCTAAATTTGGCCCAAATCCCAGTTCCCCGGCTAAGTTTTGCCAAAATCCCAGTTACCAAATCTAAAATCCCATTACTAATGATTATTTGCAAAATCATGCGCATAATAAATTAAAAGCACTGATTGACGCTATTTGGATACACGTACCTTCACCTGGACTGAAGAAAATCTCTCATTCTGCTGGTCAACACTCTTTCTCTTCCAGCCCTTGTTGACATAACCATATGAAAACCAATTCTATCATCTGTACAATCCTCGTCTGA